GAAAGAAACTCGTATTCGGATCAACTTATTCGAACTAAAATTAACTAAGAACAAGCTATATAAAAAAACACAAAGAAATCTAATTCTCATGCTAGCAGATGCGGAATACAAGCAACAACTTTCATGAATAGTTCGACGTGATGCTCATATAGGCAACCATCAGATACAAAAGATATCATCAATCTGCTTCCATATCCAAATTATACACCATTTATTAACTCAAAGCTGATTAGATTAATGCCAAAAGAAGCTCAAAGTTGAAATAGTTGTAATAAAAAAGATATTTTTAAATGACTTAATGCTACATAAGATAACTCAAATAATTACAAATTTGAATAAACTACAAATCTGGAGGAACAACTTAAACAAGAGAACATAATCATATTGTAATGAAATATAGGGATATTCAATCATTTTCACATAGATTTAATGCATATGCAAGCCATCTGGACAGTTACATGCCAACAATATCAAGGACATAATCACTGAATCAAAACAACCATATATGCAACCCATTTACAGTAACACTATATGAGCAATCAACGCTTAAGATAGCAATATTAGAAGTGGCCGACAACAAATAGAAATCCAAGATGTCAAAACTTCAAAATAAGTAGTCAAGTTCAAAGATAAGCACTTTTACTATTTTTAAGCTACTGGAAACATACTCAAACAGTTAATGCCAAACACGATTTCAATGAATAAGACATAATTAAGCGCCAACATAAATGCTGAAATAAAGAGAAGATTACCTTTTGCCGAGCAGCGTTCCGGAACAACGAGCTTAACGATGAAGCGACTTCCACCACAGACTTAGAATACGAACGACAAGCTTAGAAAATCTGAGCGGCAATCTTTTCGGAATTTAGAATCAGAGAACTAGACATAAAAAAATTTACATGTAGAAGTGACTATCACCAAACTCAAAAACCTCTCTCCAAACTGTTCCCTCTATCCCTTGAGCATGGAGAACTATTTATAGGAAAAGTTGGGGTGATTTAGGGGGGAAATCCGTTGGATTTTTGAAAAAAAGTTTGAATTTTCCTATGCTCCTTTTCGAGATCAACAGTAAAAGGCACGGGGAATCCTTCTATGCTTTGAGACTCAGGGAAGGGTGGGGGGATGAGACGCGAGGGTGATGGATCAGGTTGCTAGGGTTATGGGTTCGCAGAGTAGTTGGATGAGGGCACTGGTTTCTCGCAATTTTCTGTTGTTGTCCGTGATTTTCGCTGCGATGAAGAAAAAAATAGGGTCACTGTTCATAGCCTTCTGCTTGTTGTTCTCGCGTGGCGAGGAAGAAGAAGCAGAGTGGGGTCGGTCGGGTTTAGCTGGGAATTATTAGGTGTTTGTTGGAGTGGGTTTGGACTGGGTATTTGAATTAAGAGTGGGCTGAAGGGAATGTTGTGGGATGTTGAAAAATGGGCCCAAAACTTGGTCTCTTAATTGGAGTTAAGAATTTTGGATAATAAGTTGCAATTTTAATCGATCAATTGCATTACAAAATTAACCAATGGATTAAGAATGTAGCCATATTGAATTCATTTAGTACATTCGGCTAGTAAAATAAGATTAATTAATATAATTAACTAACGAGCTTCTTAATCTTATCAAGATATAATAATCAATTTTAAAATATTAACTATTAATTAATTAAACTAATTGGCAAAATTTAAAGCAAAACTAAAACCTTTTGAGACAATTTTCAAATAAAAATATACTAATCATATACATAACTATAAAAACATATTTATTGTTTTTTAGAAATTATAAAATTGACAAAACTTACATAAAAATAACTCGAAAAAAATATTTCAAATTTCATAAAAGCTAATTAATTCAAAATTATAGCCATCACTTTAAAATACACTAAAATAAATAAAAATTGAGATGATTTTTGAATATTTATAGGATATACTTATTTCATACATAATTATATAAAAACATATATATTATTAAAAATTATAAAAATTGATAGACTATTTAAAAACTTGCAAAATATTTTTTTTATTTTTTTTGAAAATTTGTGAAACTAATTATTTTAAATCTTTTGAAATTGAAGAAGCTCGATGATTAATCTATCTAAAATTGGGTGTCAACAGCTGTCCCTCGTTTGACTTAGATTGATGAAAGAAATTCGAGGCAAATGAAATTGACGAATCCAATTTTGACTGACCACATCTTCATCTTTAGGAAGGGGATTTTGGTACGGACTTTAGGAATTATGATCGAACCTCGGTATCAGGTTTCTACATATCTCAGGCTATATGAGAATTCAGGCCAATTGTAGTTCGACACGCTTGATTTGACACATGATTATCGAAGGGTTCAAAAGCTATCTCGATATCGAATTATGAAGAGATCGGATTACTCAGGAATAAGATTTAAGAGAGAATGTCGGAATACAGCCGAGTTTTCAACATTGAGCCCGCCAACATATCCTTAAACCTTTAGGAATCAGGCTGTTTGTAGTTCGGCTTGATCAATTGAAAAGGAAATCTATTATGTTAGATAACCTTCGGTTTTGGTAAGAGTGACAAGTAAGTCGAGTAATGAAAAAGAGGCTTGCAATCTCTCATCCATGAATGTGGCGCACTTCACACCCATAAGTAAGAACTTACACAGACATAATTTTCAAATCTCTTAGTGCATTGTCACTCAGATTGGAAAGTCGCCTCCGGTAAGAGTCGAAGTTATTCCGGATGCGAAACTGAAACAAATAAACTCAAAGAAAAACCCACGTGCCTTTTTATATGGGTGTGGTTCGATTGTAGAGGAAGTCGCTCTTCAACTTGCGTCTTAGAGTTTGATATTCCTCTTCGAACTATGTCCCAATTCGCTGCTAAGAAAAAGTTCCACGTTGTGCTGCATCCTTTTTGGCGTCGTCTGCACCATGTTGGCACTTGATTGTTTTCCTTGAATATTTGACGTCAACTTCTTTCAGTTTGACGTAAAGCAAATAAAGCTTGTATCTCATATTTGCGACATGGTTCTTCACTGTACTCTTCTTTTAATAGCGAAGTAGTAAAACAGACTAATGTAATATGTTGATGGTTCTCTTGATGGTTTGAATACGACGGCCCTCTCGGTAGTTTGATATGCAGTGACCCTCTCGGCGTTTTGATATGCAATGGCCCTCTTGGCAATTTTAATATGAATGGCCTTCTCGGAGGTTTGAATATGATGGCCTTCTCGGCAGTTTGAGTATGAAATGGCCCTCTCGGCGATTTTGAATATAAATGCCTCTCTTGGCATTTTCATATGCAATGGCCCTTTTAGCAATTTTAAATATGAATGGCCCTCTTGGAAATTTGAATACGAATAGCCCTCTTGGCGGTTTGAATATGATGGCCCTCTTGACGGTTTGAATATGAAATGGCCCTCTTGGCGATTTTGAATATAAATGCCCCTCTTGGCATTTTGATATGCAATGGCTCTCTTGGCATTTTAAACATGATGGCCCTTTTGGCGATTTTGAATATGATGGCCTTCTCGGCGGTTTGAATATGAAATGGCCCTCTCGGCAATTTTGAATATAAATGCCCCTTTTGGCATTTTGATATGCAATGGCCCTTTTGGCGATTTTAAATATGAATGGCCCTCTTGGAATTTGAATATGAATGGCCCTCTCG